TAATAGCTTATTTTAAACTCATTCTTACACATACTTTGGCATGAATAATCTTTTTTTCTTTTTGGCTAGGCAATGGGGTTAAGTGACTTGCCCAGTGTCACACAGCTAGTTAGTTATGTGTCTGAGGCTGGATTTGAACTCAAGTCCTCCTGACTCCAGGACCGATGCTCTATCCACTGCGCCACCTAGCTGCCCCTTCCAATGTTCTTAACTCATCTGATATAATCTAAGATACATTAATATTCCTCTGAGTTCAGAATATTTTAGCATCAGCGCCTCCAGGCTTTCCTCAGCTCTCAGGGAGTCTATTTTTCCAGCTGGTCCCTCTCTCAGCGATTAAAACCAACGAACCCTCCCCCATGTCCGCCCCTCAGTTGTCAGTTGCTAGCTCTTCTCCCTTCTTCAATAATAGAAAGCACTACAGATAGAAACAAGTACATAGAGTGTATCCATCCACATAGAGTGTAAAACCATTGGTGACTTCTCCCTTTATGAAATCATAAGGGATTGTTTTTCCATATTACTCTTTCAGAACAAACACTCTCCCTCCTCCTTTCTAGCTGATTTCAGAGTTGTAACTAGTAATTTTCATGCCTGATGTATAAAGCATAAAACTCACCCTCGAAGGCAGTTGAGAGTTGTACCACAGCACATAAGAGACTCCAGGACACAGGACTCTTTGGGAAAGAGACCCCAGCATATTGGAAGGCCAGTGCTGGAAAGGACTTGGGGATGAGGGTAGTAAGAAACAGGCCAGACTAGCCAGTATCTTACAAGGGGTGTAGTTGCTGAGTCTAAGTGCCATCAGCACCCTGAAAATGTTGGAGCCTTGGGACTAAAGTCTCACCTTGCCCTAATTACAGCTCTCCAGGTAAATGATCTCTCCCAACCCCAAATTTATGTAGCTTTTACAAAATCAGAATTTAGTTTAATTTTACTACAAAAGAGATACAGCACCATCTGGTGGGTAGTTTCACAGCAAAAGATTATTTACATAGTTTCCTGACTTCAATAATATTATTTACTCCAAGTACTTTTTCCAACACAAATTTCAGTGACACACAAAAACATTGTAAGTACAACAATGGTTCCTAGTTTGTTTTTTTTTAAATGGGTCCTAGTTCTCTGACTGCTTATATAATAAGAGCAAAAAATAGCACCCTCTCTAATCTGATTAAATAGAGAAGAATATTCTTACAAGGACTGATTTTTCCATTTCAGATCTAAAAATTAATATTTTGTAATTCATTTACATTATCCCAAAAACTTCGTAAAACATATAAAAATACAAACTATGGACCTGATTTAGAAAGAGAACTACCTTTGTCCAATAATTAACAGTCCATCCAATCGATCAACAAGGTTGTCCTAAGTTTTGGAAATAAGAAGACAAAAATAAAACAGTTCTTGGCCTCCTATCCAAGGAGATAATGTGCACTGTTCTTGTTCAGTTGTGTCCAACTCTTCATGATCCCATTTAGAGTTTTCTTGGCAAAGATCCTGGAGGGGTTTGCCATTTCCTTCTGCAATTCACTTTACAGATGAGGAAACGGAGGCAAACAGGGTTAAGTGACTTGCCCAAGATCACACAGTTACCAAGTATCTGAGGCCAAATTTGAACGCAAGTCTTCCTGACTCCAAACCTAGTGCTCTATCCACTGCACCACCTAGCTGCCTAAGCAATGTGCATAAATGTGAGGAGATATAAAAATATATACAACATAAAGACAAAGTAATTTGGCAAGATGGAGGCATTAGTAATTGAGAGAGGTTGGGGAAGGTGATGAAAGGCCTCACATAGGAGCTGGTCCATCAGATAAGTTTTGAAAGAATCTCGAGGTTCTAAGAGGTGGAACTGAGAAGAAAGTATATTCCAGGTATGGAGCACAACATCCTTCAAAGAGGCACTGAGATAAGAAATGGACTATTGTGTGTTAGGAACAGCAAGAAAGTCAGCTGGGCAGGACTGTAGAATGAATGAGTGTCATGTGTAATAAGCCTGGAAAGGGAGGATGAAGTCAGGTTGTGAAGGGCTTTAAATATTAAGCAGAGGAATTTGCATTTGATCCTGGGGTAATTGTTGTTCATTATTTGTTTTCCAAGAGGCCCAATGATATCAGGGGTGATGTGTTGACTTACACTTGAAATGGATTTAAGTGAGGTAGAGGTTCCGGAAGTCATCAGCCTCACTCTCACTTCCAGAGTCATTGAAGTCCAGTGGTAAGACAAAAGTCAAGATGACTGGCTATGGCCTGGGATTCGGGTGGATGACCTTGATGTCTGATATCTGACCAAGCTCTAAGTGCTCAGACACTTTCATGGCCATTGGAACAAACTGTTCTAATCTGCCCATTCCAACAGGGGAAGTCTTTACATGCTTGGGCTAGACATCCCCTCACTGACAGGTTTGAGGCCTGTCAGTTACCCTCAACCTGGTACCTTGAGGCCTGTCAGTTACCCTCAAGCCCACTTGCCTAGACAGTTTTACTAGTGTAAGGGTGCTACACATGCTCCAGCTTCTTGGAGCCACCGGTGAGAGTTGGGGGACAAGTAGACACCAACAGTGGATGAGCAGCCCTGGAAAGGGCTTGGTAAGCCCTCAAGCCTGAGGTGCTAGTCCTACCTTAACACTCCAGACACCCCCTAGGAGTAATAGGAAAACACTGGACTTTGTTGAGGAGACTCTGATCAGTATTTTAGGAATATCAACTTGGCAGTTGTGTGGAACATGAATTGGAAAGGAAAGAGAATATATGTAGGAAAGCCAATTAGGAAGTAACATTGTCCAGGAACAAGATAATAAGGATTTGAACTAGGTGGAGGTGGTCTGAGTAGAAAGAGAGAAGAAATAACAGAGACTTGACAAGACTTGGCCAGTAATCCAGTGTGGGGGCATTACTGAAAGTGAAAAATCTAGTATGAATATTAAAGACAAAATCAGGAGGGATATACAATTATTAGTAGATATAAATATACCTATTAAAATTTAATATAAAGGCTGCTGACTTTAAAGATGTTTTATCTACAGAGACAACTTTTGACATTTGAAATCAAGAAATACTTAATAAATTAAACTGTGGTTTCAATTAAAATACACACAAAGCTTATTTACTTTTGAGAAATGAGAGAACGAAATGGCAATTTCTAAATGAGAAATTACTCAGTTGAAATAGAAATGTCTAGATCATTCTTTTTCACAATACACTCAAATATTATTTCTCCTAGGAGAGAAATTAAGAAGCATTAAATAGAATTATCTGTCATAAAAGCTTTTATTGGATGGAACCAAAGAAGTAGTCATATACATAAAAAGTGTATTTAAGTACATAAAACATTAAACTAGTAAAGGAAATAGGTTTATCAGACAAGAGCAAGATCTTGTCAATGATATACTTACTGGAAATAAATCTGGCCCTTTAGAAGAAATATTATCTCTTTCAAACCATTAAACTACCATTCTGTTGTATTAAAGTGGTACTCTAGTAAGTTTCAGGAAGAGATAATAACCAACATGAAAATTTCCATGTTCCTAGTTTATCTGTGGTGTTGGATATGGATAAGTAATTTCTTTGACTCTCCCTCCAGAAGCTCTAACTCCCTAGTCCTGTCAGAAATATTCTCCCAAGGACCCAAAAGAAAGGAAAACTACCACTGCGTTGCCTGCTCTCCTGCTTCCTCAAGCTCACTGTCAAGAGATTGCCAGCAGTGAATGCAGATGTCTAATTTTCTTAAAATGCCCTAAGGCAAACTTCTTCCACAAAGTTCCCAACTTACACCCAAGGAGGAGCTAACTCACAGTCTTATGCATTATTCTCAAAATTCTCCAAAGCTCCAAACCCCATTTTAAAACAATCCTGGTCAAAATCTGAATCTGAATTCTATATCCCATTCCCTTATTATTTAAGCCCATTTCCCCAAAGATATCCCAAACCTGGAAAACAAGGCTGTTCAGCACACATACAAATTCTTGTTATCTACTTGACCATTAAAGGTAACATTCAGCACCTTTCACCCCAACATTCTCCTCACTCTCTCTCTCCCCATAAGAGCCATTTGTTAAGCCCCCATAACATGTGCTCTGCCCCCTAAGAACTTTCACAGTGGATGGCTAAAAGGTATCTTTTTTTTTTTTTTTGGCTTTTAGGCAATTGGGGTTAAGTGACTTGCCCAGAGTCACACAGCTAGTAAGTGTCAAGTGTTTGGTCTGAGGCTGGATTTCAGGGCCGGTGCTCTTATCCACTGCGCCACCTAGCTGCCCCCTAAGAGGTATCTTTCCGGGGGATAGTGGGCTGAATCTTTTTTTATTATGATGGGATGGGATGAAGGAGGGGCAAGAGCTAAAATGCATGTCAACGTCAACCTTCCTTTCATTTCATTAATTATTCCTTCTTTGACTACAAAAGCCCAACACTCACTGCTGAATACAAAAGCAAGAAAAAGCTAAACTGTTTTTGTTGTTTTGGTTTTGCACTCGACGCGACTGGTCACTTCATGGCTACTAGAACTCCCACCAGGAAGACGGATCTGCTTAGCCTGGGGCACAGAGAGGTTAAGCGACTTGCCAGGGTCACACAGCTGCAAAAGCCAGGATGGAACTGACTCCAGACCAGTTCCTACTCAATTCACTAGCTGTCTCTCAAACGGACAGAGCCCTACCGTCTTGGCAACACCCCCGACCCCCACCCCCAAATCAAATATGTACGGCTGTGTTGCCAGCCACCCAGGCACCGCCTGGCTGGGGAGGCGGAGGGTGTGTGCGAGATCACGAGGGCTTCGGCCAGCCAAGACCAGGAGATGCCGACCGACAGCCTGCAAACTGAGCGCAAGTTCCCAGGTCGCCCCCGACCCCACTCTGACGTCTCACGGGCGCGCGCCCGCAACCCGACGCTCGCCCCCTTCCCATCTTTCTAGGCCGACGTCTCCCAGGCGCGCGCGCGCATCCCGACGCTCGTCCCCGCCACGTCCCCCTCCCCCACCTCCCGGGCTCAGAGCTCTCGAGCCTCCACCGCACCCCCCCCCCACGCCCCTCAACCGGCGCTTCGCAGCGCGAGACGAACAGGTGTAGCTGTTAGAGCGGCCTGGGCTTCCCAGGAGGGAGGGAGGGAGACAGTCACTCAGTCGGTCGGTCACTCAGTCAGGCCGGGCAAGAGGAAGGACGGAGGGCATCATGTCTCGCTACACCAGGCCCCCCAACACCTCCCTGTTCGTCAGGAACGTCGCGGATGCCACCAGGTGAGTGAGGGGCGGCTCTGAGAGCGGGGGGGGGGGGAGTACAGTGGGGGGTGGGACGGAGGTCGCGGAGGAGGGAGGAGGAAGATGAAGATGGGACCGGCGGCCAGGGCAAGGCCCTAACCTTCCCTTCCCCCACTCCCCCTACCTCTCCTGGGCTCGTCCTGGAGAAAGGGCTCCCGGACTGCTGGCTGAAACGAGGCCCCTTTCTGGGCGAGGGCCCGGAGCGACCGCGGGGCCTCCCAGGCCGCGGCGTGAGCCTCATCGGCCCCCGTCCGACTCAGCCCCTCTATAGCACCCCCAGGCCTCTAGTGGTTTAAGGGACTCGTGGCTCTCCCGGAGACTTTGTGGCTCAAGCCAGGCCCCTGGTGTCCGTCCGGACCGGCTGACTGCTTCTCTCCGCACGTCCTGAGCGCTCGAGCCCGCCCCTTCCATTCCTACCTCAACCCCCATTCTGCACCCTGGCAACGAGGCCGGATTCTTTCCCTTACCTCCGCCCCCGATGCGAAGGATGCGACACCCCAGGCCGCTCTTCCCCCTCTCTCCTTCCCGCAGGAGGCCAGCCTTGGTTTTCATTTCCCCTGTCCAGGAGGCAGTCTCTTCACAAGCTAGAGTTTGCTTAAACTCCCTTTAAACTGATCGTTTGCTCTTTTCGTGGATGTGCAAGTTTCAGCTCTGATGTCACCCCCCCAATGAAATAGAAAGTTTTAACCTGTTAGGTGAGGAAGAACCTAGGAATGACAAAAACTACCGAATTATTACTTCCTGGCAATATTGATTTAGCGCTGGAAGGGATTTTTATAGGTTATTTAGCCCAGCCCCTTCATTTTACATGAGGAAACTGAGGCCCAGAGAGCTGATTTACCCAAGATAGTAAATGGCAGAGCTAAGAAGTGAACCCAGAATCCCAATGCTTCAGGTTTTCCACTGTCTAACACTCATTCATTATTCCTCTATGTTTTTAATCCGCCTTTGGTAATGTGTTACATTTATACTTCTTTGTATTAATGAATAGCTTCTACGAAAATAACATCATTTCAGCACCTTTCTTTGAATTTATCCATGCAGTGTAATCCAGTTATAACATGGATTTGAATATAAGGAAGATAAAATCATTTCCCCATAAAATACATATATACAGTAAAAGCCTGATATGCAAATCATATATGGCAGGGTTTTAATCTTGTCTTGACAGAAGCCTTATAAAGGGGTTTTACTCTACTGAGCTCATAATTTTAATTTCCGAAATAAAAGAATTAGTTTGGATTGGGGGAATACAGGCATTTATTTCCTTTCTAAAAGTCTTGAACGAACTAGGTGAGACCCAATTTGGTGTAATTCAGGAATGATTCTGGACCCCTGGTCCAGAACTGAGGATTGCAACCATACCCTGTGGTGGCATTGGGTCCTAATACCTTTACTACCCTTATGTGAGTTATGTGGTTCCTTCTGGGTTTTGTCCATAGGATTATATCCACAAACTGTTGAGTTTTGTCTTTTTGTTCTTTTGGATGAGTTGGAGGAGAGGGGATGTCTTTGAAATTTGTTTATTAATTTTATCTATTTATAGGTGTAGGAATAAAATGGTATTTATAGGTATAGGAATAAAATGGTAGGTCTGTTCACTTATAATCATTATTTTTGAGGATAATTTGAGCCTAGGCTTGGTTGATTAGCACATATCTGACAAGTTTCCTGCTTTCCTTGAAGTTAGGTTATAATAATATGAGAGGAAGCACAGTTGACAGCACTTGAACCTGTTGATCATCCGCTTCTTGAAACTTTCTTTCCATGGCTTTGTGACACTATGCTTTCCTGGTTTTCTTTCTACCCTACTGATTGTTCCCTCCTCCTCTTTTGAGTATTTTTCATTTCATATTCTCCGCGATTACAGTGGTCCCCTGCCCTTCCTTATACAATGCCCCTTCATTTCTCACTCCTTACACTGCCTCTCCAAACCTGGATTGTTCCCTTAGGCTCCATCCACAACTCAGTGGTTCTTTCTATATGTTCACTCTTTTAATAAATTCAAATCTCAAGGATTCAGCCGTGTCTCCAAAATCAGCACATCTCCTCTGGCCTCTAGATCTTACATTTCCAGCTATGTGCAGAATCAGTCAGTCAGTAAACATTAAGTATCTGTAATGTGCCAGGCACTATGCTAAACACTGGGGTACAAAGATAGCAAAATACAATCCCTGATCATCCCTGCATTTGAAGAGCTCTCAGTCTAATAAATAATAATAATAATAAAGACATAAAAATAAAATAAAATAAAGACAAATAATAGACATCTAAGCATGTTCAAAACTGAATTTGTCCTCTTCATCCTTAAACTTTCCCACTATTCCACGGTTGTCAATGGTAACGCTATTCTCTAGTTTCCCAACCTCTATACCTTTAGTGTTTCTTTCTTTTATCCCTTACATATAGTCTCTCAACAAATATTGCCGTTTCTTCCTCTGAAAGGTCTCTTATAATCACAGTTTCCTCTCTTTTCCTACCCCATTCCAAATCTTCACTTTGATTACTGCTAAAACTGATTTGGTTTTTGGTTGCTGTTTCTAGTCTTTCTTCTCCTGGCCATTTTTTTTTTTTTGCTTTTAGGCAATTGGGGTTAAGTGACTTGCCCAGGGTCACACAGCTAGTAAGTGTCAAGTGTTTGGTCTTAGGCCAGATTTGAACTCAGGTCCTCCTGACTTCAGGGCTGGTGCTCTATCCACTGTGCCACCTAGCTGCCCCCTTCTCCTGGCCATTTTTCATACTGTTTCTTGGAAAGCACTTTGCAAACCATAAAGTTCTAGATAAATGTTAACTATCGTTCAGTTGTTTCATTCATGTATGACTCTTTGTGACTCCATTTAGGATTTTTTTGGGTAAAGATACTGGAGAGGTTTGCCATTTCTTTCTCCAGCTCATTTTATAGATGTTAACCATTAGCTATTATTAAAATAACATTTTTGCCAGATTTCTTCATTCACAAGCTAAAAAGTTGCTCCCTGTAGGGCTTTTAAGGGCTATTACAATTAAGCATTGCTACCTATCCAACTTATTTCTCACTGTTCCCCAGCAAGCACCTTCTACCCTAGCCAGAACAATTTCTTCACTGTCCCAAATACATTTTGTGTTTATTCTCACCTTTGCTCATGCTGTTCCCTACACTATACTCACCTAAATTTCATTTCTAATTTTTGTTTTGACTAAATGTGTTCTTCAAGGTCCAACTCTTCCATATAGGCTTCTTGTACCTTCTTCAGTCTGCCCACACTGAATTCCAAATTACTGTCCTGAAAATCAGTATCACACAGTTAACCATCCTCCTGTATACTCTCCCTCTTAAGGTTTTTGTTGTGTTACTTTTTCCTGATTCTCCTTTTACCTCTTTGCCTCTCTTCAGTTTCCTTTGCTGGCTCATCATTTTAACAGTTGGTTGTTTCACATTATTTCATATGTTGAGTTTGTCTCCTCAGCTACATTGTAAACCCTATGAGAAAAGTAACTTCTCCTGCCACTTCTCTATCCATCCCCACAAAGTATGCACAAAATAGGCTAAAAATTTTGGTTATCATTTGGAGAATTATATTTTTTGCTTTCTCATGTAGATAAGTATTTTAATACGTAATGTAGCGACCTATAGGTCTTGATATCCTCAGTTTTATAACCTTTGATTAGGAAAGCCTGTTATATTTTGTGAATTGAGTGTAATATTTGATATCTAAAAACAAGACAAATTCTAGTAACCTCAGGCATCTCTTTCTCTACAAAATCTTTAACCTTCTTTTTCTATGCCTTCATATATGCCCACATCTCCCCAGTTTAAAAAAAAACCAAACCTTAATTGAACCTTACTATCCCTTCAAGCTATTGTGCTATATCTTTCCTCCCTTTCTCAGACAAATCTCTAGAAAAAACCTTATGGACTGCTTCTCTCACTTTTCAACCCTATGCAGTTTGGTTTCTGCTCCAATCATTCAACTGAAACTGTTATTTCCAAGTTGTCAGTCATCTCTTACTTGCCGAATTTGATGGTTTTTTTCTGTATCATCATCCTTCTCAACACACCTATTGCATTTGACACAGTTGACCATCCTCCTGTATACTCTCCCTCTTAAGGTTTTTGTTGTGCTACTTTTTCCTGATTCTCCTTTTACCTCTTTGCCTCTCTTCAGTTTCCTTTGCTGGCTCATCATCCATATCACACCCCCTAACTGTGGGTGTTCCCTAGGATTTTGTCCTAGACCCTTTTATCTACACTGCTCTGTTGGTATTCTCATGAGCTCTTGTGGGTTTATTTGTCATCTCTATGCCTGACTTACAGGTCTATATATCTAGTCTGAAGTCTCTACTTTGTCATTCTTTTATAAACATCAGATGGGTATTAGATATTTTATACTGAATGTCCCAGAGACATCTCAAATTCAACATACCCTAATAGGACTCACTTTCCTCCCTCTAGTCTTTTCAAATTTCACAGCTTCTTTTGAAGGCATCACCATATTTCCAATTTTCCAGATTCATAACCTCCATATTATCTTTCTCCTCCACTCTCTTTGACCACACATGCCCAATCAGTTGCCAAATCTTGCTTTTTCTGCTTTTGTAATATCTCTTGCATCCAGTCCCTTCTCTCCACTCATATAGCTGCCACCTTACTTTAGACCCTCATAACCGCTTTCCTAAATTACTGCAACAGCTTCATAATTGGTCTTTCTGTCTCTCCTGTCTGTATTCCATCCTGAACACTGCTGCCAAAGTAATTTTCATTAAGGAAAGATTGACTATATCACTTGCTGCTCAGTCAACTCCAATGGCTTCCAGATACTTCTAGGATAAACTATAAACTCTGTTTAGCTTTTAAAGCCCTTCACAACCTGGCACTCACCTAAACTTTTCATTCTCATTTTTTCATCCTCATTCACTCTGTAATGGACCCAAATTGGCCTTCTCTCTGTTCCTCACACACATCACTCCATTTCTCATCTTAATGCCTTTTTCATTAGCCATTCATCCATTCCTGGGTAAACTAACACCCTCCTCACCTCTGCCTCATAGATTCCTTCTCTTCATGATTCAGCTTAAGCACCACCTTCTACATGAATCCTTCCTCTATTCCCTCCTAATTGCTAGTGCCCTCTCTCTCTCAGATTACCTTGTATTTATTCACTTTATATTATGCTGTATGTACTTATAAATGTACTTGTTGCCTTTCCCATTAGAATGTAAACTTTTGAGGAGGGATTGTTTCATTCTTTGTACTTACGTTCTCAGCACTGGTACATAGCAAGTTCTTGATAATACTTGTTGATTAAGATAAATCTGGCTTATTATAGTTAGGCAAATGAATATGAATGACAGTATTAATTAAATGATGAAAATATTGACTTCTTATATGAATAATTGGCTGCTTAAAAATCCTTTGCATGATGGGAAGAGCATTTTTACATATAGATGATTTAGAAAGTATGCTTTCCTTCTAAAACAGAGGTTCCTTGCCTTTTTTGTTTCATGGACCCTTTTGGCGGATTGGTAAAATCTTTGGACCCATCCTTAGGATAATGTTTTTAAAATGCACAAAAGAAAATATGTAGGATTACAGAGGAAACCAGTTATGTTGAAATGCAGCCTATATACAGAAGACTGAGATTTCATGCAATCTAACCATGGATCTAAGAACCACAGTAATTTTGAAGTAATGACCAGCATAAAGATATCAAGATAGCAGCAACAACTGTAATATGATATGAAACTGTATATGATCTCTGTTAGTGACAAAGTCACAGGTACTACTAACATTACTCTGTTTTGTTGTCTGCTTTCGTAATTAAAGGAAATACTAAATTCCAATTAGAAATGAGTGAAAATAAAGATGTAATTTTTTTTCCCATCTAAGTCCAAGTACCTCCTGAAATCTATCCACAGGGATCCGTGGACCCCAGGTTAAGGACTCTTGTTCTAGAAGGATCAATACAAGTGTTACAACTGGATTTCTGTAAGCAAACTGCTGTAACACAGTTATATTCCTATTTCTTTGCCTTATTTCTAAAATACTTCAGGCCTGAGGACTTGCGACGTGAATTTGGTCGATATGGCCCTATAGTAGACGTATACATTCCACTTGACTTCTACACTCGCCGCCCAAGAGGATTTGCTTACGTACAATATCCTTTATTTCACTCTGTGTGTGTATTGGTACATGTGTCTGCGTGTAAACATATGTGTATGTCTACACATAGACATATATGTAATCAGGGGAATATTTGACAAGATTAATATGTCCTAACTAAATGTATTTATTTCTTTGTCTCAGAAAATCTAAAGCAGTCCACAGTAGCTGGCAAGCACCCCAAAGTTTGAATCAACCTGTTAGATAGAGTCCAAGCATAAACCAAGCAGGCAAGCCAAAAGACACCTTAAAGTTCAAGCGTCAAGGAATAAAGAGGGAGGGTGGAAACAGATAAAAAGAAAACTGGAAGAGGGGAAGTCTTTATCAAGCAAAAGACAAAGCCAGCACCAAGTTGAGGCTTCGGCTTTCCTACATTTACTCAGAATTCCAGATTCAAAGCCAAGTCTGATTTGGTTGGTTCTGCAGCTCTTATAAAGTCCATCTTGCAAGCCCTAAAGAGTAAAGGTCAAGGTTCAAGATCAAGTGACATTGAGGTAATTGCCAAAGTCTCTTTTTTGTATCATCTTTCTTTAGCTTTTCCTGCTCTCTGATATTTGATTAAATTAGTCAATGGTTTCCTAAAATTTATTTATTTGGTAATTTTTCTACATCCCATTATAATAAATGGATTGGTACTGTATAGCATAAATAGATAAGGGAATTTACTGTTAGTATTATAAATTCTTCAAGATATAATTCAGGCTGTGTGTTCCTTACTTTTATGTTTCCTATATATTAAGATATAAAAATATACTTAAAGTGACAAGCACAAGGATAAACATTACCGTTTTCATTAGATCAAATTAATTTCCATGTAAAGTATATTTTGGCCTGCTTTATGTAAAAACATTGTTGTTCTAGAAAGTAATTGCTCCTAAAATCCATAATCAGAGGCCTTCAATAATTTTAATTTCAGAATAAGGTCCTTCACATTTTGGTTTTCTATAAAAAAACCTGATGGATCCTTTATGAAACTGAGGCCTAAAAATTCGTTTTATGTTGCTAATCAGTATTGAAATATATTTTTCCCAAGTACCATATTCCTAGTTGACCATATACACTGAAACTACATTGATTAATATAAGGGCTATTCAGACATTATTGTATTAGTCAAAAATTAATTTCTCACCTTCCTGTTCACATTGTCTTGAAAATCACAGGACCTTGCAGTTTCCATGGTAGAGATGTAAATAATGTTTGGCTGATTATATTCTTCTAAAGTAGTGAGCTTAATTTTTTACTTGGTATTCCTTTTCATTTGGCATGTGAAAATTACTTTAAAAATTATTTCATTGTATACTTTGATGTTCAAAGTGTCCTTAACAGCTAGTCATATTTGAAGATGTCCGTGATGCAGAAGATGCTCTTTATAACCTCAATAGAAAGTGGGTATGTGGTCGTCAAATTGAAATACAGTTTGCACAAGGTGATCGCAAAAGTAAGTGTAGATAAACATATAGTTTACTTGCTATGAAAAATTATAGTTTCAGGAATAATAGATTTTTGCTTAAAATTCTTTCATACTGATTAACTAGACCAGTTATATAGCTATTATTGAAGCTTTATAGTGTTAAATTATTTTACAGTGATGTTCTTCAAATTCTAGCACCAGGCCAAATGAAATCAAAAGAGCGCCATCCTTGTTCTCCAAGTGAACATAGAAGATCAAGAAGCCACAGCAGAAGGACCCGAAGTAGAAGTTCTTCGTGGGGAAGAAGCAGGAGACGATCTGATAGCCTTAAAGAGTATGTAAGGTGTAAATAGTATTAGAAGGCACCACCTTGGTATAGCGTGGAGCATGGTATTTTAGACATAAATGAAATGTAAACATTTAAATATATAAAAAGTTTGAAGGCATGCTTCATTAATCATTCTTTTTAGGTTTATTAACAGGATTGCTTTAGCAGAAAGGACAACAAATATGCTGACATATTTGACTTTTATGCATAAAATACATAAATTATTAAGGCTTATTGAGTGATATACACATATGCTTAGCAAACATTTGTTACCTTGGTTTGATTAGAGATTTAATATGAATCTTTTAAAATAGGTAGAAGAGGGGAAGGGAAGGAACTAGGAAAGCCTCTTTGGGATTTAAGCTGAGTCTCAAAAGAAGCAAGGAGGCAGAGGTGAAGGGGGAAAGCACCCCAGCCGTGGAGGACAAACAGAGAAAGGCACTTGAAATATGGAGTTTCAGGTGGGCAGGACAAGAAGACCAGTGTCACTGGTTTATAAAATACAAGGAAGGGAATAAAATGTGAAAAGAATGGGAAGGTAGGAAGGGGCCAGGTTGTGAGACATTTTAATATGCAAACCATTTATATTTGATCCTAGAGGAATAGGAAGCCAGTGTAGTTTATTGAGTAGAGGGAAGTGACATGGTCATACCTGCAGTTTCAAGGAAGATTACTTTGGCAGCTGAATGGAGGATGGATTGGAGTGGAGACAGACTTGAAGCAGGAAGACCCATCAGAAAGGCATTGCTGTGGTCTAGGTGTCCAGTGATAAGAGCCTGCATCAGCGTGATTGCTGTGTTGAGTAAAGAAAACAGGACATGTGAGAGAGATGTTGTGAAGGTGAAAATGACAAAACTTGGTAAAAGATTATGGCATAAGAGAGGAGTCAAGGATAACACTGAGGTTGTGAGCCTGGGTGACTGGGAGAAGGATGATGCCTTGACAGTAATCGGGAAGTTGGGAAGAAGGGAGGATTTGGGGAAAAGATAATGAGTTCAGTTTTGGACATGTTAAATTTGAGACGTACAGTAGGCACTTACTTAGTGATATGATACTAGAGCTCAGGAGAGAGATTAGGGCTGGATATGTAGAACTGGGAATCATTTGCATAGAGATGATAATTGAACCCATAGGAGCTGCTGAGATCACCAAGGTATATAATATAGAGAGAGAAGAAAAGAGAACCCAGGACAGATCCACAGGGTACATCTGGTTAGAGGGCATGACCTACAGCAGTAATGTCAAACTCAATTAGAAATGGTGCCATTGAATAATACAGAAGGATCCCTGCTGGCCACTTATTAACTTAGAAAACCACATGTTAACATTAACTATGTTCTATTGTATTTTTCTTTATTTGTCAAATATTTCCCAATCTGGTTTGGGAATGCTCAGAAGTGCATTTTGTTTGACACTTTCCACCTAGAGGAAGATCAAAGAGACTGAGAACAGAGAAACTTGAGAGAAGTGTCAGAAATCTGGAGAAGAGAGTGATCATGTTGGAACTTGCAGAGAGGTTAGGAAAGGTAAAGATTGAAAAGAGGCCATTAGATTTGGCAATTAAGAGATCATTGATGACTTTAGAGAGAGCAGTTTCAGCCTATTGAAGATGTTGGAAGCCAGATTGCAGAGGGTTTAAAATCAAATTAGAGGCATTGATTCTAGACAGGCTTCTCAAAGAGTTTAGCCACAAAAGAGTCAGGAGAACTATAGAACTATGGCTATTAATGATGATAGGATCAAGTGAGGGGTTCTTTTGTTTTGTTTTGTTTTGTTTTTCAGAATTGGGGAGATATGGAGAAGGAGCCAGCAAATTTGGGCAGATCGAAGATTAGTGAGAGAGTGAGGATAATGGGGAATCTGCTTGAGAAGATAGCCAGGGATGGGAGATCCCAGCCCTTAAGGAACTTACATTCTAATTGGGGAGACCACAAATATAAATCAGAACACACAGGATAAATGCAAAGTAGATGGGAAGAAGGAGGGGATGGCATTAATAGCTGCAACAATCAGGAAAGATCTGGAGGAGTTAGCATTTGAGCTAAATCTTAAAAGAAGGTAGGGATTCCAAAAGTTAGAAGTTAGGCATATTTAGAAACAATAAAACTTTTCAGATCTCTGATAACTCATAAGAATCAGAGTTTCAGAATTAGAAGGGATCTCAGTAACCATTTAGTCCAGTATATATCCAGAAAATTTCCCAGCATTGCATACCTGGGAAGTGATCATCCAGCTTTTGCTTAAAAACCTCTAGTATAACACAAAGTTATTTGTGAAAGATGACAAGCTAAAAATTAATGTGCAGTTATTCTATTCAAAGAATTAAAGTATTAGAAAAAATAAAATCTCAGATATAGTATTATGTTTTAGAAGATAGACATAACTCATTTGAATGTCAGCTAGGTTCCACAATGGATAGATAGACCACTGGACCCAGAGCCAGGAATATCCGAGTTCAAGTTTGGCTTCAGATACTTATCAACTCTTTGACACTGAGCAAGTCACTTAACTGTTGTCTGCCTTGGTTTCCTTATTTGTATAACATGGAAGGGGAAGAAGGGGATTAAGCATTTATTAAGTGCCTGCTAAATGCTTTATAAATATTATCTCATTTCATGGAGATAATAATAGTACTTATCTAACCCAGGATGCTGTGAGGATAAAATGAGATAAATTTTTGTGAAGTGTTTTACAAGCCTTAAAGTGCTATATAATGCCATCATTATTATTGTTGTTGTTATTAGTGTTCTGCAAGGGTTGATGATAACTTACCAATATTTTGCCAATAAGGAATTTGTTTCTTAAAAATATTATCCTTAGCAGTAATTATTTAGTGAATTTGTAAAGCAAAAAAAGACTGTATATGCCAGCTGTCTTACTATTTATTCACAGTAACTACCTTGAATATTACTTGTGTTATTTTTCCGTTTGTATGTAGAATTCTGTGATGCATTCTTCTGTCAGTGAGCGGCATTCATATTTGTTTTCAAGCCCTTTGAGAAAAGGCAGGTGGAGCAGTGGATAGAGTGCTGGACCTGGCATCAGGAAGACCTGAGTTCAAATGTGTCCTCAGACTCTTACTAGCTCTGTGACCCTGGGCAAGTCACTTAACCACTGTCTGCCTCAGTTTCCTCATCTGTAAAATGGGGATAATAGCACCTACTTCTCAGGGTTGTTGTGAGGATCAAATGAGATATTTGCAAAGCATTATGCAACTCTTAAAGCACTATATAAATATTAGCTGCTATTATGTTGGCCAAGTAGTATCTTCAAGTATAATAGCCCTTTAATTTTCTGTCTCTGTGATTATAGAATAATTGGAATGGATAGTGTTTTAATGTTCTGTTTTTGAATTTTGTGTGAAATAGGAAATGAGTTATTTTCTTTTTGAAGACTGTCATTCCAACCCCCCCCCAAGAATTTACCAGCAGCACTTCCTACACAACTTTGCACCCAAAGACAAATATTGATTGTATACTACCTATTTTCTGAGATAAAAATACAAGCAAGGTACACAGGAATAAGGAATAATAACATATAGGACTTTATTTCTATAATAATGTCTGTTACTACAGAAATATAAAACACTACAGAATTAATTGGTCATAAATTAAAGTTAACAATACTTTAGCTTTTGAGTATATATGCTAATGAGGATGATATAGAGAGAATGGAGGAGGCATCACCAGGCTATGGCCATAACCTGATATTAGGGAAGATCTGTCTTCTGATTATGTGGAGGTAGCAATAGTACAATCCCTGTAGTATTGCTATTTACTGTACTTCCTTGCCCTGTTTTAAAACAAAGTATCCAAGGGGAGACTAAGAGGACATGACCCACCTTGACTTATAGTAAGAGTATCCTTGTGTGAAGAAAGTTTTTCTACTAGCCTCTAAAATAGCCTCTCTGCTTTCAATTTCATTGATATATACATAAACAGAGCTAGTTTTGTAGCATTGAACATTTGCTAAAGAGTAAATTTAAACATTGATTTTATTGACTGGAAACACTAATATCAAATATGCTTACTTCTGATATCACTGGTGGCTTTATCTTCCCAGGGAATTATCTCTAGCATTTCAAATTGCTGTGACTACACCTCTACTTAAAACAGCGTTTAATAGCTTAATGGAGCTTACTATTTGGGATGTTGTTGTATGTCAGATGTGATAAAGCTTTGAATAGTTTGTTTTCCTTAAAAAATGTGTTAAAAAGCACTTTGCAAAACGTAGAGTATTTTGGGATATAAGCTCTTGTTGTCTGTGCCACACATTTTTATATTACTCAAAAATGATCCCTAGATTTGGTGCAAAATGTATGCTTGATCAATTTCCTCTGCTTTTTGTGTCCTAAAATCTCAGACTTTTCCAAAGTTGTTGGGGCCTTATTTAATTAATAAATATCAAACTAAGCTATCAAAAAAGAGAGAAGCAGTTAAGAATGTAGCAATTAATATTAATTTTGCTAATAATAATTGTAGCATTGACTTCAATAATAATACTTTCCCCACCAAGAAACTTCTTAACATAAATATCTCATGCTACAGCTTAATCCTATTAATGTCCATATTCTGTCCACATTAAATAGGGAGAAATTTTTTTGGTTATTGCTTATGTTATACCCCTTTATCATCTCAAAAATATAAATTGCCAATCAGCCTTTCTTATCTTAATATTTAGAGAATAATTATGAGACCTTGAAAATGTTGTTTAATAGCCTAATCATTTTTTTTGTAAAATATGTACACTAATATTTTGGATATTTGCAGGTCTCGTCGTAGGGGACTTTCTTATAGCCGATCTAAATCTCGATCTAACTCATTAACAAGGCATTCTACCTCAGGAAGGAAATCAAGATCCCCTAGAAGAAATTCTAGTTCTAGACGACGGTCAAGATCTGAGTCCTTACAAAAAAGGACCACATCTGTGGGAAAGTCACAATCAAGTTCACCTCAGAGGCAGACCACCTCAGGGGCAAAATCAAGATCAGATGGAAGACATTTTGATTCACTAGCAAGATCCCCATCAAAATCTCCCCAAAGACACACTAACTCTGAAACTAAAGCACAGTCTCGGAGCTACCATCATAAAAACAATTGGTGAAACAGAATCAGAAGATCTCTACACATACTTAGACTTTCATTATGAGACAGAACTTTTGTTAAATAAAATTCTTCATAGCTGTACTGTGGGCCAATATTATTTTGGGCATATACAAGTAGTAAAATATATCTTGCTTTGGATTATTAGATTTGGCCTCAGCATCACTGCAGACACTATAAATAATGTTATGTTTTATTTTGTGCTAAATGAAACTTACTTATTGTAGTCAGGAAGACCTGAGTTAAAATCTGGCCTCACACACAGAATTAGCTATATGACTTTGGGCAGGTCATGTAACCTCTGTCTGCCTCAGTTTCTTCATCTGTAAAATGGGGATAATAATAGTACCTACCTCCCGCTGGTTGTGGTGAGGATAAAATGATATATTTGTAAAGTGCTTTGCAAACTCTTTAAAGCACTATGTAAATGCTAGCTATTATTGTTGTTGTTATTATCAGTTTCATAATGTTACATACAAACCAGTTGTTCTTTTCCTTTCCATTTCAATGTGCCTACCTTTTCAAACAATACTTTCACATGTGTTGTAAGAGTACTTTTCAAAGGAAGTAAGTGATATTGAAATAATTTATTAACTCATTTCATATATTCTATATTATTATCTTAAATAATAATGCTACACATTGGTATAGCACTTTTACCTTTCCAAAATGCTTTTGCATACTTTAAGACTTCACAGAGCTGTTACTTCGTTGATGTGGGTACACCTTTCATTGATGCAGATTGTAATACTTGAAACCTTGACACACTATTCATTAGATGGCATGGTCCTAAAATTTTGTAACCTGGTGGCAGATTTTCTGGGGATCAGTGTCTCTAAATTTAGCCAAGCCAGGCTTGAGATAACAGATCATTAGGGCCATGCTCAAAACTTTCAGTTTGATGAGATCCACCAGATCATGTGTTCAACTGTTGTAATGTTTCCATGCTCCAGTGTTTTAATCTTAAACCAATTTCTGGTGAACACCTGCCCATGTTACAAAATATAAGGTAGTTTTTGCTACCTTGTTAACAGCAGTATTCACAACAAGGTCAAGAATACAAAAGGAGGTATTCTTTCCTGAACTCCAAAGTAACCTTATTGAAGAAGATTGAATGTAAATTGGTAGGATAATGTAGATTAATTTGCATTAAAGTGACATTCAGTTCTATACGAACTTGAAATATAACTTTGTATTTCAGGAGGGATCAGATCTGTGATTTCATTGGCATGTGGAACTTCCACTGAGGAAACTCTGTTAATACAGTTCAGTACTTGGCTCTGCAACTTGCAGTCTAAAACAACTGCTTGGGTACTGAGACAGTAGGCTACTTGTCCATAATCATGCAGCCAGTATGTGTTAGAGGTGGGACCTGTGTCTCCAGCCTTCTTTCCTTGAGGCCAGCTCTATCCACTGTGCTATGCTGCCTCATTACATGAAGTCGTGTAGCATGTTGAATTGAAAAATATAAAAAACGGCTTTTACAAAAAAAAGGAAATATTTTGAAAATATTGTGCTATCCCCATTTTTCCAACAATTAACTTTGCTTACATTCTTTGCTTTTACAGTTAATAAAATCAAGGACTTTTCTAAAAAGTATTTTTAGTTTACATTTTAGAGAAGCTTTCTTGTTGGTAGTATTATTTATGATAATTTATTTTTAAATATCAGCAAGCATTTATTAAGTGCCTACTATGTACCAGGCGCTTGGGATACAAAAACAAAAATGAAACAATCCCTGCCCCCAAGGAATTTGAACTCTACCAAGTACAGTACCATAATGATGTATTTATATAGTTCTGCTTGTGTGCTATGTTAAATTGCATTCTTCAAACTTTGCGAACAAAGTTAAGTATTTTTTTTGCCTAGTATTCCAGTCTGCTTTACAAAAAAGATTCTTTTTAATAAATTACATTTTTTTTAGCAAATAGCATTCTTCTGTTCATTTTATTTTGAATAAAAGTTCCTTTTTTCTTAGAGCTTTGTGTATTTTCAGAAGCTTTCAGCTTTACAAAAATTGTAAGTAATGGACAAGCATTGATTCACAAATTCTGTCCAAATTGGAATGATCTAGTGTAATTATAGCAAAATATTTTTGCTATTTAAGGCATAATACATCTTTAAAGTGAATACTTGATCAGTAGCTTCTTGTTGTTCAGTAATTCAGTCGGATCTGACGCTTCGTGACTCCAGGGACCATAGCATGCCAGGCCCTTCTGTTGTCCACTATCTCCCAAAGTCTGTCCCAGTTCATGCTTCCATGACATTATCCATCTCGTCCTCTGCCATCTCCTTTTCCTTTTGCCTCAATATTTCCCAACCTCAGAGTCTTTTCCAGTGAGTCCTATCTTCTCATTATATGGGAAAAGTATTTAATAGCAATGAAAGATAATTAAGAGCTGATATTATATAGCTCAGATATCTCAAGAATTTAAATAGCACCATAATTCTAAAATCTTTGTTTTAAATATGAACCAAATAATATTGTTATAATGTTCATGTCATAAATAGCCATATATACTTTTGAGTAAACAGGGTAACCTAAAGCAGTTTTTCCCACTTCCTATCCTGTTGGTAACAAACTTCTGTGTCTCAGTTTTTATGATTGGTAAGCCTCTGAAAAGCATTTGCTTTTCTAGGAAAAGAAAAGGTTTGTCTTGGTAAGACAAAGAGGGAGATGAGTAGAACAAAGAAAGGTGAAAAGAAAAGGTTAATGCTAACTGGCTATGAATTGTGACAACCAGAATTAATAGATTTGATGGCCTTGGGCAAAACATTGGCAGGTGTGCTTCAGTCCCTTGGAGAGTTACCTTATGGTTGGTTGGCAACTATTCTGGGGTTTCCTGTTACTACAAAGCAATTTTTCTTCATAGTGCCCTAGTCAGGGACTACTTTAAATGAAAGTAGATATAATTTTAATTGTTTCGCATTTTAGAAATCTGCTAACTTTATATAAAGTCACTATTTTATGTGGCAGCTGCTGTAATTGAATAATACATGAAAAAGTTATATGTGGTACCATATTCAGTTCAATAAACATTTATTAAGTGTGTTTTACTTGCCAGGCACTGTGCTAAGTACTGCGAATATGAGTATTTACATATATATACAGCAAAGAAATTTGTTTCTAGATTTTCTACTTCAGTGACAATCCAATCCCCCTTCTCTTTTCCTAAAAACTGAGACTCAAAAAAATCTACTATAGTTTTACCTAGTGCAAAGATCTTCAATATGATTCATTTAGCTTTGTGAGAGTACTAAGAAGGAACAAAAGCATCACAAAGAGAGGCTGTCAGCTGTGTCTATTTCTCTACATGTCTACTTAAGGGCTGAAATTCAACTGTTTATTGTGCAAAGATAAGGGAACACATTAAGCAATTTTGCATGGAGACCCAGAATATAACTTTGTTACTAGGCTAACATTTTTATTTGGGGAATTTTTAGCATCTTAATCCCATAATGGTAAAGTACGTTAATCATATGGCAAGAAACATTTAAAAATACAGCACTTATTTTTTTCACCTGAAACATAACTATATTCTTTTTTTAAAAAATCCTTAAAACAATGGACTATTTATAGTATTTCATAGAAAATTTTTAAAAGGAGCTAATGAGCAGTATTCTCACCCCATGCCATATTTATTCCCTTTTAGCAAAGATACTTAGGAAAATAACATTACCTTTAAACTACCACTGGTCTGGGAGAGGTGATGACTGATGATAACTACCACCAAAATGTGACTTTAGGTATTTGGTAAGATCTTAATATGTCTAGTACTTTAAAAAGTCACAATGGTGGGAGAAACATGAAATGACCAGGAAATTGAATCCATAATTATCAGTAACATAAAATGTATTCTGGAAATTTTGACAATCCTTCACAAATATTTCAATCCTTTTGTGTTGATTCACATTGTCTCTAGTTAACATACTTGTAGTAACTATGGCATAGGAATATGTATGAAGATATTTCTAAAAATCTGCAGTTGATTAACCCAAAATGGGATTAGAAAACATTTAATTAACACAGACATTCAGTATTGATTTCTTTTTATCTGAAATATTAATGGCAGCTAGCATTTATGTAGCATTTGTAAGGTTTGCAAAACACTTTACAAATATCTCATTCGATTTCACAGTAACCCTAGAAGGTAGGCACTATTATCTTTACAGATGAGGAAACTGAGGTAGACAGAGGTTCAATAACTTACATGGGGGTCACACAGCTAGTAATCTCTGAGACAGGATTTGTATTCTGCTCTTCCTGACTCCAGATCCAATGCTCTATCCACTGCACCACCTCTTTGCATTTCTTCACTTTTAATATATGAAAGATGAAAAGAGAAAATTAGTTTACATGGGATATCCAGACCAACAGTACTGTTTTAAGGAAAGTGTATAGCAAGGGGTTTGGATTCTGGTTCATATAAAGGGTTACCTGAATTTCTTCAGATATAGCATAACTATGAATAACATCTATTCCATGGGAGATGCCTATCATTTCTAGATATGTTATGAGTTGTGAGCTTCTGAAATATCTATTCTATATAAATGTTATGCATATGTTAATTTATGAGCTTAATGCATTTGGTGAATTGATAATACCAAAAATCCCTTAGATTTATTTGCTGTCTCATAAAGGGTAATTATCACTGTTGTGTACCAGCATAGTTTCTGGCTTCATACTTTGAGAAACAACCAGGAGTGAAATTTGAAACCAATTCTCTTCAAGAGAGAATTTCCTATCAATAGTGCTATGGTACTTAGTCCCAGAAACAGACTGTAAGTTCAATGATATTTTATCTAGTGCTATGGTCTTATAGAATATAATGTGCACAGAGGAGAAAGTAATATTCTTTTGGCATATTATAAATTTTTGTACATCTAAATATTATATGCCTTTTGGAAATAGCTACATGAATAAAATACCTACATGGATGAAATACCTGACCATTCAATATTTTAAACATTGCTTCCAAAGGCAGTTGAGTGTTGTGTTTTATAGCAGCCTGTTGTATTAAAATTTATTGCATCCTCTAGTATATTCTCATAATTTAGGTCAAATTTAGTTATGTGAAATAGTACTGACAGATTTTTTGTGTATATGTTTGTGGGATTATGTATGCATAAAATATTTACAAGCCCAAGCTGAACTATTTGAGCATTGTGCAATATAATCATTTTAAAGCAAAGCACTTAAAGTAATTTGGTATATTGACTAATGTGGCATTGAAGAATACACGAATGCCCTTCCCTTTCTTCTTTGCAGAGTTGGTGGACTATAGATATAGAGCACTACATATACTGTAAGAATTTGTCCAGATGTTAATTTTGTTGAACTTTCCCCCTCTTTTTTTTTTTTACTCTTTGTTATAAGGGATGGTTCTCTGGGTGGGGGAGAAACATTGGGAAATGAAGGTCATTTAAAATAAAATGTCAATAAAAATTAAATTAAAAAAGTAATTTGGGTACTCTTCTAGTCCTTGTAAACAGGGTATGACCTGTTTCTTTGCAGAGTACTTCTTTTGTGAATGAATGAATTTTTTTTAAAAAAGCATTTAGTAAGTGGCTCCGGATAATGTGGAGAAGAGAAGCCCGATGTTAATTGCCGGAGATACAAATAGACAGAGGGTTGTTCTTAAAGGACTCACACAATTTGAGGAAGATAACACATACTGGATAGCTCAGCTGCAGGGTGAATGGAAAGGCTAATATGCTCTTAGGGTGCCATCAGGGTGTGTCCCACAAAGTGGAGAGCTTGAGGGGACTGGCCTACCACCATTAGGCCTATGGGTTGGAGTGGAGTGAATATAATGAGCCCCTCTAGCGGGGATAGAAATTCAAAGGGTTAATGTCCAGCCAGGAGGAGAGTCGGGGAAAGGGACATAGGCAGGAAGGTTGGGGGGAGGTCATAGACTCATAAAAAATTAAGTGCTGACTAAGGTACTATTGGTGGCACTATGAATTGGTCCAATCATTCTGGAAAAAAAAATTGGAATTATTGAAAGAAAGAGACTAAAAACTCCATACTCTTTAACTCAATAGTTCCAAAAAAGAAAAGCTCCGTAAATGCCACAACATTGATTGCAGCACTTTTTGCAGTAGCAAAGAACTGGTAGCAAAATAGACTTCAACTCAATGGGGAATGACTAAACAATTTGTGGTTCAAGGTAATGGAATATTGCTTCGTTGTAAGAAACAATATGATGAATACAGAAGAGCATGGGAAAACATGTATAAACTAATGCAGGAGAAAGTAAGCAGAACTAGGAAAACAATATACTTGACTACAATACAAGATGCAAACAATAGCAACCCAATTGAGATGGCATATTGTGAAATTATAATACCCAAGCCGGTCTGCAAAGAAGAACTATGAAAAGCATTTCTCTTCTTTGCTGAGGTGAAGGACTATGGGCATAGAACTATTAAAACATAAAACTATTATAACACGTCAGTTTCAATTTGTTAGTTTTGCTGAACTTTTTTTCCCTCTTCTTTTTCTTTGTAAAAAGAGATGGTTCTTGCCAGGGTCGGGGGTGGTGGGAGACATATATTAGGAAAGGAAGTTGGTATTTAAAAAATCAATTTTTCTGGAAAAGAGTATGGCAGAAACTAGGCACAGACCAAAATCTCACACCATATACCAAAACCAAAATGAGTTCATGATTTAGATAGAAAGGCTGATACTATAAGCAAACTGAGAAAGCAAGGAATAGTTTACCTATCAGATTTATGGAGAACAGAAGAATTCATGACCAAACAGGAGATAGAGAACATTATCAAATGCAAAATGGATAATTTTACTTACATTATATTGAAAAGTTTTTGCACAAACAAAGCCAATGTAATCAAGATTAGGAGGGAAGTAGAAAACTGGGAAAAAATTTTTTACAATTAGTGTCTCTGATAAGGGCCTCATTTCTAAAATATATAGAGAATTAAGTCAACTTTATAAGAATACAAGTCATTCCCCAATTGATAAATGGTCAAAGGATATGACCAGACAGTTCTCAGATGAAAAAATTAAAGCCATCTATAGTCATATGAAAAAATGCTCTAAATCACTGTTGATCAGAGAAATGCAAATCAAAACAACTCTGAGGTACCACATCACACCTATCAGATTGGCCAACATGAAAAAACAGGAAAATGATAAATGTTGGAGAAGATGTGGGAAAATTGGAACACCAATGCATTGTTAGTGGAGTTGTGAAATGATCCAACCATTTTGGAGAGTAATTTGGAACTATGCCCAAAGGGGTATAAAATTGTGCATACCCTTTGACCCAGCAATAGGACTTCTAGGTCTGTATCCCAAAGAAATCATAAAAATGGGAAAAGGACCCACATGTACAAAAATATTTATAGAAGCTCTTTCTGTGGTGGCAAAGAATTGGAAATTGAGGGGATGCCCATCAATCGGAGAATGCCTGAACAAGTTGCTGTGTATAGTAGTAATGGAACACTATTGTGCTATAAGAAATGATAAGCAGGTGGACTTCAGAAAAACCTGGAAAGACTTGTATGGACTGATGCTGAGTGAAGTGAGCAGAATAAGGAGAGCGTTGTACACAGTAACAGCCACATTGTGCAATGACTAATGTTGATAGACTTAGCCCTTCTCAGCAATACAAGGATCTAAGACATCTCCAAAGGTCTCATGATGGAAAATGCTATCCACATCCAAAGAAGGAACTATGGAGTTTGAATGCAGATCAAAGCATACTATTTGCTATTTTTTCCTTTTGTTTTGTTTCCTCTTTCTGGTGGTTCCTCCTGTTGGTTCTAATTCTTCCTTGCAACATCACTAATGTGAAATATGTCTAATAGGAATGTATATGTATAGCCTATATCAGATTGTATGCCATCTTGGGGAGGGAGGTACGAAGGAGGGGGAAAAAAATTTAAAACTCGAAAGCTTATGGAAATGATTGTTGATAAAATAAATTAATAAAAAAATAAATAAAAGTGATTAAAAATTGAAAAAATAAATAAAAAATCAGTTTTTTTAAGTGAGTACTAAGTAGAGCACATGAGTGCAGGGGGACAAAAGTATTAATGACTTTTATAAGGCTGACATAAAAACTGCCTAAACTCTTCTAGACAGTCACACATTTTTAAAAAGCAGATCAATGTTTTTAAAGAAGAAATTTTGACAAGTCAGCATTCTAGGTTTTAAAAAATGGTAAAATCTTGGTCTAAATGTAATGCAATTGAATAATAAATATTAATGCTTTAGCTTCTATATTAGTATTGAATTTTGCAATTTTCATTCATTTTAAGGCTAAAAATATTTAGTATCAAGACACATTATGTAGTTCATATTTCCTACCCCCCCCCAGAAAACTTTTTGGAGACTCAGAAAAGTACATTCCTCTATCCACTAAATAGAAAAAATTTTAAGCATCACTTTAATTCCAACAAAATTTATTGATAAACGTAAAGAATATTCTTATACTGAACCAGTTAGTTACTTGTCAGGAATTAAATATAACTGTGCAATTCTTTAAGGTTTTTATTAACATCTTACCTACCCTTGTGTAAATTTTGACCAATTTAAGTAGTCTTATTTCAACAAACGTTAATAGTTATTTCAGTCTTAGGGGAGCTTCAGTAACTTAAATGGAACAGCATTGCTTAAATTCATAGCTTATAATACAATTCTATTAAAAAAAATAGAATGAATTTATTTAGCACTTTAAGGTTTGCAAAGAGCTTTACATGTATTACCTCATTTGATCCTCACAACAACCCTGTGAGGTGGGTGTATTATCCACATTTTACAAATGAATAAACTAAGCTATGAGAGGTTAATAATAATAAATAAGCTGTGAGAGGTTAAATAACTTGCCCAGAGTCACACAACTAGTGTCTAAGACAGGATTCAAATTCAAGTCTTCCAACTCCAACACTATCCATTAAACCACCTAGCTTCCAATTTAACCTTTATGTTGAAACTTATGTTTTCCTTTACTGCTTTAAATTTGGCAACATTCTCGAAACTGTTACAAATTACTGCCTTGCAGACATTATCCTCCCAATTGCTCACTCTGGGCAACAACAGCCAAATTTTCTAGCATAGGAAATTGTCTGACTTAACCTCTTCCCACTTTTCACTTTTCTTCCCATTGAATGTGACTACATATGCCAGGATTCCTTCTTTTCCTTGTTATATATCACTACTTACAGCTCTCATTTACATCTCCCCCCAGTCTCTCTCACATTTAGACAAATCTT